CCAGTTTGGCAGTCGTATAAATGTGACCATGAGCACATCAAAGTCTCTGCATTTTGTTAATTTCCAATACATCTTGAATGCACAAGTGTTGCTGGTTTGTGGTATTCCTCCAGAGGAATATCTTAACACAATTTCAATGATGACAAAATATCCATATGCAACGAGTAGAACATACTATGGTACAGTCGATAAGTACTTATGCTTGAATATAATTGAAAATATTTCTTGTTTGTATCTCAAGTGCACCGATGGGGGTAGATGACGTTTCATGGCTCAATGTCTGCGTGTACATTTGCGACAAAGGTTCATATCACAGATAATGGACTGTTACAAATACAAAAAATAAAAAGGTATTATGGTAGTTAGCGCTTTAATAGTTACATTTAAAGAATCATTTACTGAAATTATTAGTCATGCTCTGCAGTTTGCATATGTTTTAGTTCATTCCAGTGTACCATGCATTTTCAGAGCGAATTAATTTTTAATTAACCAGCGACTTATAAAAAGGTAACAAAATAAACAAGCAAACATTGTGTCCTTCATATATCGAATGCAATAATTGATATGCAATAAATGATAACATAGATACATCGTTTTCAATGAGATGTGTTTTATATGTGTGATAAATACCAATGAAAGTTAAATGCAAGTTGTTAAACGATGCTGAAAGACATGAATAACTAAAGTTTAATAATGTTGTAAATACGCACTTTTAAATGTTTATTGAAAATGTGCCAACTAGAATTAATATACACTAACATGGGAACGATATAAGCATTCCTTTGAGTTATGTACAATGAATCACAACGTGAAACACTGTCACAGACTGAAATCTTTACATCTTGAAACAAAACATTTTGATTACAATTTATAAAAAGTTGCAAACCCAAATTAAAGTTGCAATCTGGATATATATGACAATGATACATTCTGACTGACAGTGGATATGGCTTTTCCCACATTTCGCACACCATTTCACAGAACATTCCTCACAGCCAAACGTGGAGCAAAACTATGTTTGAGCCTATGCCAGCCTGCCATGTGATGCGTGCTCTGCAGGAACATCAGGAGCTTGTGAAGAATTCAAATGGAACCATGAATTATAGAACACTCAAGAAGCAGGAAACACAATAAAGTGTGTCAATTCCTTTTTTTTTACGCATGGGGTACATGTCTCCATGCTTTATATTGATAATGTCTTGAATTAGCATGACTTCAAAATGTAATAATGTATTTCTCCAAACTAAACATTTGTTTTTAGTTTATCAACTTCTTCACATAAAACAATACAATTTATTATTTCAAAGCACCACTTATGAGGGAGAGAACTGCAATTTATAATGCATGAAATTATAGCGACTTTACGATATGTAATCATCACTGACTTTCTGCTGTAGGTGACTCAGGTGGCTGGTGTTGTGAAATTGTGCGAATTATTTGTTTTAAATGTCGAGCAGAAGTTTGTTTTATGATTGTTTTTGCACATATAACTGATGAAGAATTTTATATTTACGTAGATTTAATAGTTGCATTGTTTTTCTGCATCAAGCTATTTTGTACTGTACTTATCGCATTCCAGGTCTCCCTTGCAAATAATTCTTATTACCAGTTTTTTCCAAAGGCCATCAGCTTCAGCAATGCGTTGTACTTAATACTACTTATTATTCTTAAACGTCAACATGATGCATTCAATATTATTTGCATTTGCTCCCTGATCGATGTTTGTCAATTTGTCTTGGTATAATTCCAAGCATGTATCTCTCCATAATTATTTTCAGATTTGTTTTATTTTAGTTTTGTCAGTGTACACTTTCATCCCCATCTATCTTCAATAACTGCTCTTGCTATACATAATTCTGCTGTGCGTCCCAGTTGCGTTCGTTGTTCAGCAAACTAGTTGCTCAAGCCTGACCATTGATGTAGTGTTGTAAATAAAGGCAGACGACTTCATATCTTCTTCCCAGGCCACTTTATTACAGTCTGTTTTTATAACACTTGTTTTAGTTATGCCGAGTATCTGCCGTCCATCGATCGTTCGCTCCCTCACTCGCCGCGTCCCTATCCTATTCTCTACTCTCCTTTTCTCACCCCTCTCGTTATGCGTGCCGACGTAGGGACTGTAGCTCACGCCTTTAGCGTCCTACTCCTGATCTTTACAGGGCCATGTGTTGATTTAAAGCTTTCGTGACTGCAGGGATTCATCTTCTTGGTTCTTTCGGTAAAGTCACGTAGAAGGGAAGTAATAAAATAATAAAATAAACATAATAAAATTATTCTCACGACGTTTCGGCCACAACGCAAGCAGCCGTCCTCAGGTGAAAACCAGGTCCGTCGAGGCGACAGAGTCTGAATGAAACAGCACACGACCTTGGAGCATATATATAAGCTGGGCGCATTGACAAAGGAATTTGAGAATAATTTTATTATGTTTTATTTTTATTATTTTATTACTTCCCTTCTACGTGACTTTACCGAAAGAACTAAGAAGAGGGCCATGTGTCTCGCTGTCTCAGCGGGTTGATACCACCAACCGCCTCTTCTGGCTGCCCAGCGCGGACATGCAGCCATTATCGAATATGATCGCGTTGAACCACTACACATGCACAAGTGAATGATGGGTACTGTGTGCGGCTGACCCCTCAGTGATGTAACAGGATTCCACACAGGAGCGGGCACGGCGGAAGAACTGACAGGAGATACACTGGTCAGGGCCAGGCCCCCAGCAGCCATGCTCCGAGCATAGCAAGTCACACACAGCACCATCCGCATCTGCAATGGACATACACATCGACACTTCTGCAAACATTTGCAAGCTACACAAATAAAAACACAGAAATACAATCACCAATTGTGCCATTTTGAATAAAGTCCCTGCATAATGTAAGCGCTATTGTGCATGCATACATTCGAATGTACTCAGCAATCTTGAACACAAATGTCTGCCAAGATTGTACAATTATTTGTTAAAACTTTCAATGAAGATTGCTCCCGTGGCTGTGGATACTAGCGAGGGAGAGGAGTTGTGAGGGAATGGAGTTGGAAGGGCTGAGCCCACAGAGCATCAAGAGTGTACGACCTGGTTCTGGTGCTGATGCTGGACCTGGCTTGGGAGAGAAGTGGCCTGGCAGAGCCTGGCTCCCAGTGGTCATGGAAACGAGGCATACAAGTGCTATTAACTCTGCGTCTTAAACGCAAACATGGCTGACAAGTTTAACTACGCGGAGAATATTGTGGCCTGTGTGGCTCGCTTCTGCGTTGACTCCGTGACATTTGCAATCGCGTCTGGGGTTACCCCATGTAAAAGCAAGCAGCACAATTACAAAAGGATGCCTGGTAACCTGGGCCAGAAGCTCCCATTGGCCTGGACTAATGTGGGTTTCTGGTTCCCTCCTAGGTTGAGAACTGAGCCAGCCAGCATAGTTGCCAATGGTCATTGGAAGTTTAACACGTAGACTTTCGCGACCAATATCATCCATAAGAGTTTTTTTGGAACATGGCATACATTTTCATGGCAAACTGAATGACAACCAAACGTATCATTTAATAATTGCCATTAAAAATGCAAGAAAAACAGGCAGCCATGAGGTTCACCTAATGAAGTTTATACTAAAAAAAAATAATGCAACCAACTATATTTCTGAACCAATCTCTAGCTGCAAAGATCACACCTCCGAATAATGCGGTTGACAACGTACGATGAGAAGAAGTTTAACATACATACAAATGTTTGTTTATAGCTATATGGATACAGACTTAATTGTGCTCAATTCATGCGAAGTGTAATTGGAAGCTCATGTAGCATCCTCTAAAAATGTTTTCAGTATAAGTTAGAAATTCTGAATGGATTTCACATGACTAGTCACAACTAGTCATTGCAATTTCTAAAAATGAGCAGGGTATGTTTGAAGACATTGCATTGATATCAGAGGAGCATAATTCATGCTCCAATGTGCATTCACACCAAACATTTCACAATTAACTAAGTTTATGACTCCATTGTATACATTTCGACAGAAAAGGTATGTAATGAAAAACTTAAGAGCAGAACCACAATCTTTATAATGTTTCCATACAGCAAATATATACCAGATTAACATTTTATAACGTGGGTGTGCATGTATACTGCCATTTGTGGTAAGCGGTGACCCGAGTTATATTCCTGCTCATGGCCAACACCAGTGATTATCTTAACTGGTCCTGGGCCCCCCTAAGTCGACTCAGCCACAAATGAGTACCCAGTTCGGTGTGTAAACATTGCCACTGGGGAGACAAAGCGGCCGGGTGTGGTGCTGTTCACCCACCCCTCGTGTACCATGTCGGCCTTCATAGGTGCTCGCCAACAGCACTTGCCCCAACAGTCTGTTCAGGCTAAATAGGGATCTATGTCTTTGTTTAGTCATATGTAATCCATAATAAAGTTTAGTTTTAAAAATGAAAAAAACTGAGTAAGATTACATTTAGGGAATGCTTGTATGAGGAATTCCAACTCGTAATGAACCCATGGAAGCACTGAAAGCACTGTTTTCTTGGGTTTAATTAATTATGCTGTGATTTCTACATCTCTAATCCTGTCAAGTACACGAAAAATTATATATAAATACATACAATATTTCATTTTTAAAGTAAAATATTGGTAAACCCTTTGTGTAATTGTGTATATCCATTGCAAACTATCAATAGGCCTTCCACCATGGCATAATATATTCTAGAACAGTAACATTTCAATTCATAATGCGTGTGACATTCCAGCAGAACAGATTAAAACCACTTTTGAATCAAATACGCTTTCAACTTCAGCACTTTAGATGAATACAAACGCTCTAGTGATGTCTAGGCAGTGTTACCTCCTCCACAGACCTTATCTAATAAATAAAACCCCCTCAAACATTATGTGAATAGGAATCGACTGCATTCAAAAGATAACACAATTATTGTCCCACAAATGTACACACTTATAGATATCCGAACGATAAGTGGAGAGCGCTGGGAGACGCTTACTGCAGTCGGCTTCTGGCTTGTTGTCGTGAACGTATGACGTCTGTTGTTCGCTCACAAACACCGCAGGCCATTTGATGGTATTGTAGTAGCACAGACGTTCGTTATTCTTGAGGTAGACATTGCCGGCACTCACTTCCTGTAGGGAGGCTAGCCCCAGTGCCGTGATGTTGGGGATGCGAGCCACAAGAAGAGAAAAGGTCCTGCGCACACCACAAAAAGCCAACGTCATATAATATACCACACGAAAAAAAGTAAAGCAATGGATACGGTCAAATAGTTGAAATGTAGATCGCAGGCTTTGTGTTAACTTGTGTTTCTTTAATTGCGAAATTTCAACAAGATAGAGCAGTGCATGAACCATGGTTATGCAAGTTACGCAATAAAAGCAAATGTGAAGTAAATGTGGCTCCCCTTCGATAAAACTACCAAACATTACGGGTTCCCAATTAGTTAGGTGGTGACAAAAACAGCTGGAACTTTATAATTACATAACCATGTGCAGAGAAGTGTACATTTGTGCCAACAATTGAAATCTGCAATCATGTCGTCTTCCCATATCTATCCGTCCACGTTAAAATAATAATATTTTTACATATTCCGTCTGTCACACAACCTTGTGGGAGTGAGATGTATCAGCAGATTGGTTCAACACAAGCAAACTCTGGACCAGTTTCAACATTTAGTGTGTCATCAACAGTGTCAGGCCTGTTGAACTGCCTGATATTTATCGGTTAACGCATGTGTTGTACATACTACAATGATGTTTAATGATTGTTTCGTGTTGAATAAAACACACGTGCCCACAAGTCTTCTCTCAAGTGCAAACATGGGGAGAACAGGGATATTGTAACACGTAGGCTTTGCGACCAATATCATCCATAACACAGGTTTTTTTGGGGTTAGATCGTGTAAATATATAAATATGTCGTTAAAATTGCTGTGTTGGGTGGTGGCAGGTTTAGCGACACATCAATATATTTACGTGATCTTACCTAAAAGAAATCTGTATTACCGAGGATATTGTACTCTTATTCCTTTACACGGCTCCCTAATGGGAAATGTCTTCTGTCCCCAAAGACACTTGTAATCTTGAAATAAACTCTATTATTATGTTTGAGTAATACGGATTAATCAATCCTTCCTGCACATGCATCTGTTGGACTATGCTTGTTTATATCTCTGTTAATATATATAACTATATATGTACCATCACTATCTAACATATATAAGTGACATGCCATGTACATCATCTTGCAAGTTTATAAATGCCAATCACATTGTACTTGCTGCACAGGGCACATATCTCTAGAACATTGCCAATACTCTAACACCTGATCGAATGTTATTGAAGACATATTTCCATTGCAGGAGACTCTGACCAAATCTTTCCAAAATCACCACAAGCACTTTCCACTTGAACAATCATGCAGCAGATGCCACCATTGATGTATCCTTCTGTGTTAGCCCAATGCGCTGTGACTCTACTCCAATATATCTCTGGTTTATTATGGACAGAAGCCTGACCTTCAAGCCCACATAAAAAAAGATCTGTGAAAAAAAACAAATCGAGACTCGCCCTGCTGCAAAAATTTTCAGGAACGATCTGCAGTGCCTCGGCTTATGTGCTGTGAACTACCACCATCTCACTGATCTACTCAGTGCAGTCACTGTGCTCTAGCCTGGTCTGGAAGGTCGTCGACAAAACTGCTAGATACAAAATATATCACGCAATGTGCAATGAGTATCATAACCAGAAAACTGGAAACAATAGTGTTCTGCCATAATATCGTTTTTTAAACCCACTACCACCCGACACAGCCAATTAGTAAGGTTTGTCATGTAAACAGAAAATGCCAATTCATTACTAGTATAGCACACCGGCGTGTTGGAGAGCCAATCCACAACATTTACAAACTGAGTACGACGTTTCGCCAATAATTACAACTAGCTTCATCGGGGGACAACCATATTTGTAGATTTTTTTTCCAACACACCAGCGTGCTGTACTAGTGTAATGTGAGGATAAATAACGAATTGGAATGTTCTGTTGACGTGACAAACCTTACTAATTGGCTGTCGGGTGGTGGTGGGTTTAACGACACATTTATATTTACGCGATCTAACCCAGAAAAAAACAACCTATGTTATTCGATGATATTGGTCGCGAAAGCCTACGTGTTAAAGAATAGTGTTCCGGTGAACATTGTGCCACCAAATATCTGAAGAGACATGCAAACTGCAAAGGAGTTTACACATTTTCTTGTCAACGATAAACTATACATTAACCAAGACCTCAACAATGCACCTTGCCGCTAACTCAAGTCCCAATCCCCATTTTCAAATTATGCTGTCACCATTCTAGAATCTCACCTGGCTCCAGAAGAGTTATGGTGAACATAATGGAGCAATGTGGATGTCCAGAATAAAATAACAATTATTTTGTGATCAAAACATCGCACCTCCTGGCTTTTATATTCTTCAATAACACTAGTGTACCATAAATTCATCAGATTATCAACAGGCCAATATGCACACATGTCCTTCATGAATGGAAAATTAAATAAAAGCCAGTGAGACTGGCCAAGCAACCCAAACTATGGACCATACAGTAAATCAGTGTGTAAGAATTGATTCTACTCTTCTGGAAATAAAACAGGTGTTAAGATGTCTCAAACAGTTTTAAACAAGAGAACGCCAAAAGGTGAACAGCACAAAGACAATGCACTATTAGGGCATGTATAGCTCGGAGTGAGCAGCTATATCATGGGACCTTTCTTGCCAGTATCAAAATATAAGAATTGGTTTTACCTTTTCTGGCAATAAAACAGGTGTTATGATGTTAGCTGCTCACCCCGAGCTCTCAATGTCCTGATAGTGCATGGTCTTTGTGATCTTTGCCTTTTGGCGTTCTCTGGTCTAACACCATTTGAGACTAGGCTCTAAAGAAAGCTGTCTCTGGTGTGGATCAGTTTCAAAGTCAATGCAAATATTACCAGAGCATGTTTTTGTTTGCATTTTCTCCACAAGTATGTGCGGTTAATGCAGACATGATCCCTTGCCGTGAGCAAGCGCTGTTCCTTTTTCACATCCGTCAACTTTTAATTAGTTTCATTAGCGATTTTGAGCGTTTTTTTTTGTGCGCTCCCATACCAACTCGCCTTTGGTGGGGGGACGGCCCATACCAAGTCGCATGCCTTCGGTAGAGTGAGGGGGCATTTTATTTCTCGTTAAAAATCCTATAAAAATACACTAAACACTCAGGTAAATTCTTCACTGTGTTACTACTATACAGTCGGTAGATGCTACTACTATAGGCCGTAGATATTACTGCAGAGGGCCGGGGAGATCATAGCTGGGGGGGGGGGGGGGGGGGGTCAGGGGTAGCAACCCAGCCCCAGCCTGCCAAGGTGCCACCTCGGCTGGTTGGACAATCTAGGCGAGGCCAGAGGCTCTGCACGGACTAGGCCTCACCACGCCACTGTCAGGCGAGTACTTTGTGCTATAGCGTCGATAAATACTACTATAGAGTCAGCATGTACTACTGTAGTGATAGCAGGTACCACCACAGTCGGTATGCACTGCTGTAATCGTAGCAGGTACCACTACAGTCAGTACGCACTGCTGTGAGGTTTTTAAGAGTAGTTTTGAAATATTTTTTTGGCCCGCAAAATGCTAGGTATATAAGCTACAAAACTTTCCTTCGAAAATATGAAGCATCACTAAAGACTGTGAGGCACACACGAGGCTGAATGGCAATTGGTGTCCGTTACGGTCCCTTTAGCAATTTAACAGCAGTCACTTTGACTGCAGCGTTGTTTAGTCAGAAACGTTGTCCACTCGAGATTTCGTGACAATGTTGAATTTATCGTTTATTGCAGTGGTTTTACAGTTCGTTGGTGTACGTTCATAAGTTTCACTCAGAACTTTAAGGATGGTGCACATGCCAACTCGCCAACCTCACTGCCTCTGCTCACATGCATCATGCATCACAGCCATTTGGCTCTCTTGTGTTTTTTGTGAACAAAGTGGAATTCAGACGCAGATTGTGCGGAGTAGAGTAACCTGAATATGCATGAACAGGTCATCACTAAAACCGTACCTCTGTAACACTCTGCCTCTGATTGTCGTGAGGTTTTCAAAAACAGCAAAGTCTGTCATATTTTCTGGCCAAGCTTGGATCATAAGATGACCTTAATAGAACACACAAACACAAAACACACAGCAATATATAACATTTAGCATCATATAATAACTACAAATTATATATATAAAACTATGGCAACAATGGTGATGCATTCCATTACAAAATGTGCAAATATCAGCAATGAACTATGTTGGACGAAATTGCTAAACATGCGTAGTTTTATTCTCCCTTCAATGTATTTAGAAAGTGGGTATTGTTATTTTTTAAACTGTATTAAAAAAATATATATCAACAGTACCTGTTATCTCTTTAATGCTGCGAAAAACGTTTAGCTTATCAGGATCAAGAGGTGGGATTTTCATGTAATCATCCCTTGGAAAAAAATGGAGAAATATATGGCACATTAATCACAGGAGTAGCGGCGGTGAAGTTAAATACTGAATACAACTACGTAATGACCAGAACATCAACCTAAAATTGCTCTTAAAATAAGTATTTAGTTTGAAACATAGTATGGCTACAATTAGTTCAAAATTAAATATACAATTCCGGGTTGCTTTTTCTTAATAGTGCTGATGAGTATTTACTTCGTCATTTTAATGGAATTAGGTTTTAACAACACAACTTTTATACAATGTTATGTTTAATACAGTTATGTGTAATACAAGTGCATGCAGTACATGGAATTTTGGATATGTGTACCGGAACATGTAAACCCCAATGTTAAATACAATGGAAGACGAATACGTATCGACAAATTGTGTTCCAAAATAAAAGCATTGTTCACATTCTATTGTAAAAAAAAGAAAATCTTCAGCACGAGTAGCATGCGGACAATTTTTCAACAACGTTCTTTCAGACGTATAAACCCAAAGAGCACCGAAGCGGAAACAATCATCATATGACAAAATGTAAAGATTTAATTTGATGGTTACCCTTTGATGCCTGTGGTGAGGAATGCAATGTTTCCATTGATTTTTGTGCAGTTCTCAAATGTATCTATGTTGGTAGCATCCACCGTCTGTGATCGGCTTAGGTTTCCTGTTCCTATCCCATCGCACGCTGCAAAGACATAAAAGGCAAAGATCCTCCAAATAGCCTTAACAGACTGTAGGACCAAGTGCTGTCAGCGAGCATCTACGAAGGCTGCCACGGCACACGAAGGGGGTGGGTGGTCAGCACCACACTGAACCGCCTTTGTCTCCCGAATGGCTACGTTTATACACAGCACCAGTTACTCATTTGAGGCTGAGTCGACCTTGGAGAGGCCAGGACTGTTTCAGATAATCGTTACTGCTGTTGGCCATGAGCGGAAATCAAACTCGGCTCGCCGGGTTTATAGCACAGTGCTGCACGCACACACACATATAACCACTCAACAAACGCAGACACATTTAGCAAGCTTTGTACCATACAAAAACGCCTCTGAGCATTTCTCTGATAAGCAGGGAAATTTACCTGATAAGCAGGTCCTAGAGTAGGGGCCACTGTATGCCCAGTTCAACTTTAGCCACGTACTGGTGGAATGGGCGCCAAGGTGGCAAGATGTTCACAACCTCGCCTGGTATACATAATATCGTGGGTTCGAACCCAAACCTTATGCCTGTATATTTTGATTTTGCACGTTCTCCCCGTGATCGCGTGGATTATTTTCTGGGTCCTCCGGTTTTTCCCTCCACATTTAGAAACATGCATTTAGAATATTTGGCTGTTATACATTTCCACATGATCACCACTTAATTCAGCGAATCGTGGCCAGGTTGCTTCTGAAAAGAGCTATACAGTTCAATGGGCCTTACCTGGTAAAAAAAACATAGTTAAAATAGGATTGAAGTTGAGATATAAGCATCACAAAAGAATGCTGTGGCTCAACTCCAGGAGCGGCTCACTCGGCAAAATGACTGGTTGCCAAGAGGCCCATTCTAACACTGCCTCTAACTCAATAATTCCCTGTTTCCTCTTCTCCCTAAATCATCTGGCTTAAATTGATATGACATGTGTGTGAAATAGCTTTCAGAAATCTACATTAATACAAGTAGTGGTCGAAATATTTTATATAAAATATGCAAAGCATATCGCACACTGATTTAATACTAGGCTATTGCTGAAACATGTTTATGTATTAATCACAACATCAAATAAGTGCATGGCCATTAGGGTTACTATGATAAGAGACTATCTGATATAGCTGAGATTTTGTGTACATTTCGTTACATATTCTAAAAAGTTTTGACCGTCCCTCATAAATAAACATACACCTTAAAAGTATGCTAGCAGCTGGTTACATTAACTGGTGATGGTCAAACAATGCAAAACATTTCCGGCATAGCTGACAATAAGTAAGACTCTGCAGAGTACACACGATTAGTATCGTTTTTCCTATGTGTGTGTGAGTGTGGACACGTTGGCACATGCGCTGTAGTGACATCACTGTCAATTGGTGGCGAATGGCAGGTTTTGAATATTGGATTGGGCACATCTACTATAACATCTTTGAAAAAGGAGCATTATCACTCATTGAGTTCCTCCAGGTTAAATACATATTCTGATTCTGTGTGTGTATGTAAAAAGAAAAGCACTCTGGTGACACCCAGACATGCAGGAGCACCTTTAGGGCAGACGTCGGTACAGGTCTCACATTTCTTCTTGCCGAATTTTTCCACTTCATGCTTCCCGGCTGGGCACGCTCGTACGCATGAATTATAGTCCACCACGAAATTATCTGCGGGATGCCGCGCGTGGGACGAGTCCAGCATCAATGTACAGTAGTTCACGTCTCATGTTACATTGCTTCAAATAAGCCAAGCCTGAATGATTCCCCCGGCCCACCCCCAACTCCCCAAACAAACAAAAATCTATGCAAAATAAATAGGACACTTTCATCAAAGAGATTGCTTGCAAGTTGTAGAAAGTGGGTTTTGAATGTAATTTATTATCGATCAACCACTTGACCAACCCCTTGATCGATCAAGATTAAAATTTTACAACCTTACACATTGTCGCTTACCTGGCAGTCGTTCTGTAAGGTGCTCACCTCAATAGCAGGATTATAAATAAATGGGGGGCATGTATAAATGGCAATTCAATATCAATTATAAAGCACATTAATTGGATATGCACTGATGGGTAAGCACACGGCAGTATTCATGTTATCTAAAGAAAATCACCGAAGTAGAAATGTCTCTAAACTTCTTTGTTAATTATGTGGTGATTAAGAAATAATCTCACCACGTGTTAATATTTAAAAAAGCGATTTTTTTGGTGTAAATAACAGAGCTATTTTTGTAACCCAGGTGTATATTTATACCAATTGGGAACTCATTGTGATGATATATATTCTCAATTCGCTTATTTTTGGTTTGCATTGGAAGACCTGTGATATTTCCTGAAGAAAATGATTACATATATGTTTTTGTTGTATTTGTGGAGATGAAACATCCCATGCTAATGGTCTAAGAAACGGTTATTTTTGGAATATTGGCAAAATTAAGAAAAAAAATTAGCATCAGTTGTCTGAAACGTAATTCCAAGAAACCATAAAGGTGATTTTACCTTTCCATTTTGGGACTTAAAAGAAACACATGCTGATTAATAATGTCACAATTTGTATTTCCCTATCCCTAGGGTCGGCAACATGCGGCTCCGGAGCCACATGCGGCGCTTTAAGGAACTGTTTCGTGACGTTACTTATTATGGTCCTCCGTCTCGTATTTACGTGCATTGCGGCTCTTCTTGTTTTTCTGGCTGCTTACCCCTACCATATTCTATGAAGTTTCCAGATTTTAAAAGGATTAAAGAGTAAAAACAGAAGTCATGGCGATTTGCTACTAAAATGAATAGTGAGGCAGTGCTCATCTCCCGTTTACAGCCCTAAGCCAACGGTGGAAATCCACATTCGAATGGCCGGGGGCAAGTCTTTCCATTCGGAGAACCAATTGATGTTGACTTCCGCGCAAATCGGGAGTCACTCTACGAACTCCAGGAGGCATGATGTGCTGAGTCAACCCCCCACCAGGATTTGAACTCGCAATGTTCCAGTTGCGAGCCGCTCGTTCGTTTCCTCGCTCGACCGCTCACTCGACCGCTGAGCCACTTAGTCAGCTATAAATAAATAAACACGGTTTCAAATTACGTTTGAAACATTCCAGGCTATTGCTAAAGTTTATTTATTATGGCTTTAGGCAAGTTAAAATATAATAAAAAATATGATTTCCGAACTGATGAGGTGGATCTACTGTGCCGTGTAGTGGCTTAAAACCAGGCCACCAAAATGGTTCATGTCGCCTTCACCATGCAGCGCTGATTGTCCATTCTTTTTTTGACGTGTCTATGCAAAGTTTCAACCTCTCATATGTCATTATTATCGTCAACATTATGAAAGAATAACAACAATGATGAAAAGCAATTTTTTTTTAACGTGACTTTGTGATTGCAAAAATGGCGTTTCTTTGGGTGCCCATCAGAGGCCAAGTAATTTCATGAAATGTTCCCAAACAGTAATAAAAGGACAAAGGAAAGAAGTGGGATATTTTCTTTGAACGAGTGTCGATCTCTGTCCTGCAGCAGTGGTGCACACTAACAAGAGGCAGCTTTATGAATACCCATCCCCTGGTGTGTGGGACAATTGTAACAAATGATGATGCCTCCACAAATCAGAAATTCATAGATTTTTTTTTAAAGCACAGAATGATAGAAGGGGGTGGGAAGGGAGGGGATGGATGGCTTGGAGAAAAGGAGAAAAGGGTAGACAAATGAAGGGAGAGTGAAGATTGAGGAAGGCTCAAGCATAGCAGGTCGAGCAATTTCATGACAAAAACACAGCATGTGTGCTTCTTACGTGGACACTCCTTGACACAGATGGCACCGTAGCTGTATTTGACGTCTGGGTTTTCGCCCTGTGCAAAGGTGACGGGGTTGTAGATGGTAGGTGGAGGGCAGTGGCTCACACAGGAACCACTGTCATTGAAGTTTTTGCATGCCTGGTCATAGGAAATAGAAGCAAGTGATGAGTGGTGGTGGGGGGCGAGAAACATTGCCATATTATAAGGCATTTTAAACTATATAAACTATTTATGAAACTAAACTATTTTAATTTTAACAGGTAAGAAGCTCTTTTTTCAGAAGCGTTCTAGCCACAAATGATTGCTCAACGAAGAAGTGAAATGTACAGCAGCCAAACATTCTAAACGGATGTTGATTTGAAATGTGGAGGGAAAAACAGGAGAACCCGGAGAAAAATCCACGGCACCACGGGGAGAACATGCAGACTCTAAATATACAGGCTTCAGAGTCGGGATCTAACCCACAAGCACCTGTATACCAGGCGAGGAGTTAACATCTCGCCACACCGAAGTGCCCTTCAACATAACATTGCTGTTGTTCTGTGTGACAGAGGGGTGTACTCACAAAGCAGTGTGTGTCCCGTGGACCATCACACCCAGCCGCGCACTGGGAGTGGCAGCATTCACTGGGAGTAGGGCCATGGCAACGGCCATCGCACTGCCGTGCGCACGTCAGCTTGGTGACTGCCACGGCACAAGTCCACGCAGATGTCAGCAGAACGCAATCTCACACTGCTGCTTCCCAATTACCCACGTGTTGCTGCTTAACGCAGCAACAACATCGTCGTCGTCATCATCAGTCACAATGATAATGATTCATCATCTTTTTAATGGACGTGCCATGGTGGCTGAGAAGTTGTCTGTGATTATCATGGTCAAGGCACTGCTGGATGAAGGCCTCCCCAATGCATCGCCATCTCTCACAGTTCTGCGATCTAACAATCTACCTAGCACCTGCACATTGGACATACTGGAGGCTGCATTATATTCCTTGGCTGCCAGTCCATCACTATTCTTGATCATCGGCATTATCCCTCTTAGCATGTGGCTAAATTGGTTTACAGATAAAATCCCTGGAATACCAAGTTAGTTTTGAAACGAAACATAAAAAACAATAATCGTATTTCTTAGTTTGCCAAAAATGCAGTTTTCTAGAATATTGAGAAGAGGACAATAATAATAATAAGAATTCAAGCTTATATAGCGCTTTTCATAAACTCTCAAGGCGCTTTAGATGAAAAAAATGGCTACGTTAAAATAGAATGAACAGGTAACCAATTTTTCTACACAATTGGAGATTTTTTGACTGAAATTCTGTACAAAAACGGTTTCTGTAATACAGTACAGAAATCATTGCAAGAGTGATTTGCATTATTTTTTTAAAATCTGAATTTCTGCACGTGAATTTATTCACGAAATAGTTATCATACTGCGCAGTATTAATGCAATTATGCGGTGGTTAATGAACATGAAATGTTAAAGGGTATATAAAAACGCATACAAAATGTGTTTACATTGTCTGTTGGGAAAAAAAAACATTTAGATGTAACAAGAGGATATTCAAATTTCCTTCAGGTATGTTAGCCATTTTTTCTCATTTAAATGTTTGTGATGTGCTTTTATTGTCGAACTATTCCATTATTAAACTAAGTCTAAAAGTGAAAACGGAAGCTTGTCTAACACCAGCGTGTTCTCAAAACTACCGCTGTACAAGCACTGTTGTGGTTACCTGAACAAGACACCAACTCATGTGTCTGGGATACACTTTATATAGCTAAATAACTCTTACCAGATGCTAAAAAGGGGATAGAAATCCAATTCAATTCATATATTCGGTGCCAAAAATGCATATTCTTTCCGATGCTCATGGACTCAACGTTTAATCGCATAGCAGAATAAGCATTTATATTGAACAATGATGCAATCCAGCCGACCAGCCCATAAACAATATAACAACCAGCATATGCAAGTTTCACAAATCACTTGAAACAATGGCCTTATGAAAAAAAAATTGGTACCTGTCTGCAAATACTCTAAACCATGCAATTTGAAATCTTGTCCATAGGCTACATTCTAAAAATATCTACATTTGTAACTGACAGCAGTAATCATTTTTTCATTAAACAACTCTTGCATGTATGAAACATTTACAGCTCTCTCTTGATTTGAAGCTTTCGTGACTGCAGGAATTCACTCTTTGGTTCTTTCGATAATGTCACGTAGGTATAAATAAAATAAATCACGACGTTTCGGGCGCAACACAAGCGTCCGTCATCCGGTGGGAAAGCATCAGGTGGGTGCTTTCCCACCTGATGATGGACGCTTGTGTTGCGCCCGAAACGTCGTGATTTATTTTATTTTATACCTACGTGACTTTACCGAAAGAATCAAAGAGTATTTACAGCTCTCATTGATCAAATGACAACAACTACAACAACAAAAATATAAAATGTCAAAAGCATTTAATGCTTGATTGATCTGTAGAGGGTTGCGACAGAGCGGGTGTGTGCCGTGATGTTTACTGTACTCACATTTCTGGCAGTATTTCATCCCATTTCCCCAGCAGTGCTTATGGCAGCCTTTATGGCAGGAAGCACCTGAAAAAGGTAATACAAGTTTCATGTTAATAAGGGGCATTACACAAATACCTGTTTCTGTCATGATATTACATTTCAACTATCATAGTTTACGATGTTTAATAAAAAAAAGTACTGAAACTAATCATGAGGTTAATTTATATCAAAGAACAGTGCCATGATTTTGGATACCATTTGCTATATGAGGACATGTAAAAATTAATATTTCAGAAATTTGTATACAAAAATAGATGATCTACGCTTAATAATAAAACAACATTAAAATTACAAAACTTACTTTTAATTTCTGACATTAAGCTGATATTACGGAAATCGATTGCTCTATTCCTGATGGATTTTTCAGAGTTGCTAGGAAATGGATGTGATAGACTTGCAATTGTAAACGTTAAACCACATCACCTATCACTAACTTTTTTTACATCTGATTGTTAGCAACTAAGTATAATCACCAGGGAGTGTTTAATAGTTGCACTTACAGTATAATTGTGCTTATTTCCCAACTCGATATCTCAACGTGAATTCAAGTTTAGGATGTTACAAGTGAATTGTGCTGCAATCGCTGACTGATCATGCAGCATCCTGACATTCCTTCCGTGATGCTGAGGTTGTAACGGGTGTTTTTCCATTCCTGTTGCTCTGTGCCCCTGTACCGTTCCTGTTCTGCTGTAATGTAGACTGATGCCTACTTTATTGAGGGCAATATTGGCACGTAAAATAAAGAATGATTGATTGATGAAGGTGAGAATTCAGTATGGCATCCCTTGGCACGAATGCTTAGAGTGACCATATCCATACGTGACTGGCAGTAAGACAATGGCAAGGCAACTTCCGAATTTCCATAGGTACATAATGATTAATTGAGATGCTTTTTCTGCCACTTAAAAATGACAAATTCCGTATAAAATGGAGTGTTTACATTTTTCAAAACAAGTAAAAAAGTTGGTATTGTACACACGTACAAAATAGAGGGAGACATTTACATAATCTTATTTTGGCTTATTTGTTAAACTGTTGATGAATATACTTTTCCTAACAGTAGTTATAGTATGGAATGACATTGCATTATAAAACATTGTAGATAATATGCGACGACACTTGTACATTGCTATATATTTCCTTATCTGGTTGACTTATTTCATTTTAGGATAAGCATTAGAAATGTCTTCAAATGCCAGATGTGAAATCCTCTACAGAAATGCTACTTTATATGTGTGCTGCATATATCACTTCAAACGTGCTATACTGAATAGGGAGATGTTGGTACGGTGGTTAGACCATTGCTTCAGGTGATGTAAGTTTGATTCCCTGCTATAGCTAACATCAGTGTTATGATGATATCAGAAGAACTTTAATTAATAAAATTAACTGCTTGCCCTGGTTTGGCATGCCTTGCTCTTGTGAAATTAGGGCCATCGAATCCTCACAAAACCATCTCATTGGCATTTATACAGACTCTTAGTTTTAGTTTAGTTTTTACATTTTATATAAAAGTTATTAAATAAGAAATGTAAGAAACAGTTGCAATGGTTGTAAAAATAAAACTGTTGGGAAATGTCAGAAAAGACAATTGTGTTTATACGATTTGAACGTATATACTTTATGTATGTATGCTCTTTATTTATTTTTAGTGATTTGCTTCCCTTTCCCTCACTTTATAGTCCAATTGTTTTGTTGTATTCTTTGTTGTTGTAACTTCTGACCAGCCCCTACTGGACATCTGTAAACAAGAGCTTCATAGCTCATTGGATTTCTCCAGGATCAATACAGATTCTGATAAAGATTCGGATGCCTTGTACACTTGTGAGTAAACAAGCAGTGCACAATTCTTACATGTGGTGCTGTTGTCCATGTCGATGTTGACAATGCTGCCTTCTTTCACAATGTCCCACCAGTCCACAGTGTTGTGGTAACAGAGGTGCTTGTTCTCCTTTATGTACACCCTCCATGTAAGATTTCTGAAAGTTTAAAATAGGCATTTAACAAGGCGCTTAATATAGTCAGCAACAATGGCAACAAGTGAAAACATGTAGCAATACTGCAAATAAAGATTTTTTTTTAACACGTTTGAGGAAACCACTTTTTAGCTCGAGTGCTGAGATATTTTTTACCATAACCAAAACCCCAAAGGATTCTTACACTCAAAAGTAACCTCTGGCCAGCTGTGCAACCCAGGGACACTTATATAATAGTTATTCTATAGTTATTTCGGTAAAGTCACCTAGCTAGAACAAATAAATCTGTGACTTTACCGAAAGAACCATTCACAAAGTTTTAAGTCAAAATATATAATAGTTATACATAGATTCTAAAGACAAGCAGAGTTTCGACAGCACAGATGGCTGGGGAAAAGAGTTGCAGACTTTAGGGGGTAGCAACGGTGTAATACATTGTGGAAATCGCTGGGTAAGAAGGCCTTCTTGGCTTGGCCATTGCTACATAAAAAGCTTGCACTTTATCTGAAGAATGAAATGTGTTGAATTGGAGTAAATAAACTGGGAGATAGTACTAATGAGATGAGATGGAAAGAGGAGAACTCTATACTATTGAAAGTGACACACTTTCATAGAGATGCTACCACTCTACCAACTCTTCTTCAAAACAATCTTCTCGAAGAACGTCACCCATTGGAATAAAGCAGAAGATTTATGCAGGAAATTTTTTATTGACATGCTAAGAACACTTATGCAAGATATGTGGTTGTTTGACATATTACTTTCCTGAGTATTTTGCACACAAAGGACACACATGGTAGGTGTCTGGTGAGTGCTGACGTATGAGTGGTCAATTTATGGAAGGGCATAGCTGATGAGCAAGCGAATTGAGTCAATTGGGCAAGGGCAGGTCCAACAGGAGAGAGAGTAAGCTTATGAAGGAGAGGCGGGGGAGGGGGCTGATGACATATATCCTTGTCTCTTGACTTAAAGCTTTCGTGATGCAGGAATTCATATTATTCGGTCTTTCAGTAAAGCCACTTAGATAGAAAAAAATAATAACAATATCACGAAGTTTCGATCACAACACAAGCCATCGTCATTAGGTGAAAAAAGAAGGGGAAAGCTGCTGAGGCAGGCTGTTTATAAAGGTTTAGAGATGGGCGGGGCAGCTAATGTTAATGTAGGAAAGGTCTCCATAACAGGCCTACACCAATCAAAGAACTGTTTACAAAGGTTTATAAATGCTTGTAATGTAAGCTCGGAGAGAGCTAGTAAAGAGTCATCACCATATGGAGGTGGAAAAAGATGGCAAGCCGCCATTTATATCCTTGTCTGTTTATATGAGTACAATAGTCACCCGATATTTGTTTAATGTTTTTTGTAACTTCATTCTATGATGATGAGTCTGAAAAAGTTCTGTCTGAGGGACTTACATGACAGGATTTAATTTTTTGAACACCGATTTATGTTTGTGCACTTCTTAAATTTCTCATGTGAC